ATCATCATCACCTTACTGTTTTGAAATAGTGGTAAGTCCACTGTACAACACTATTCACAACACTTCTCATTGGAATTACCACTATATAATGTGCGTTTATGTTGTCTCGTTAAAATCTTATAAAAAAAACCCCGTGGAAAAAAAAGAGAGAGAGAGAGAGAGAGAAGGAAAAAAGAGTACAACCGTACATGCTCCCCCTCAAATTATCTTATGTGTAAATCTCGAAGATGTCATTCCAATGTTGTTGACGTACTTTCAAAATTAGCAATTTCAAATTGATTGTCCCTTGGACTTGATTCCATTCAAGTGTCTCCTCGTTGGTGATGAGTTATATCTTGCTAATAAGTTAGTAGTGAAAGATATATTTGGTCTAGTGTAATTAGCAAGATACGTAAAGCTCCAATCGCACTCATATATGGTACTTCGAGACCAAGTATTTCTTCATTTTCTTCACAAGGTCGAAATAGATCATTTTCAACATTTAATGTTCGATTAACAATCGGAGTACTAAGAGGATTGGCGTTGTCCATATTAAAGTCTTTTAGTACCCTTTTAGTGTAATTAGATTGAATGGCAATATCTCATTTTATTTGTAAGCTGAGACAATATTTGATTTTTTTTAAGAAATTTCATTTCAAACTCTCCTTTCAATAAACTGACTGCTTCAGGAATTGCATTTGGTATCCCAATAATAATAAGCTCATCAACATAGACAACTATTATCACAACTCTATCATGTAAATCTCTTGATGAAACGCACAGGCATATTTATTATTTACGTGCCCTTTTTCAGCACTTGTTCACTCAAACAATTATACTAAGTGCTTGATTGTTACAAACCATACATTGACCTTTGCAGTTTTATTGCACATAACTCTTTAGGCCTTGATTGTAATGCTTCGGACATTTTTTATTCTGTCTGAAAATTTCACGTAAATTTCAATGTCTAATGATCCATATAAATAAACAGTCACAACATCCATGAGACACATTTCAAGATTTTCATGGATAGCTAAACTGGTTAAATATCTAAAAGTAATTGCATCCATAACAGGAGAACATGTTTCTTCATACTTGATCTCAGTTCTTTGGGAAAACCCATGTGCTGGATCGAGCCATATATCTTCTGATATCATTTTTCTCTTCTTCTTTTTTTTTTTAAAATAAAAATTTATTTGTATCCAGTAGGTTCTATACCTTTTAGTGAAATAACAATAGGGCCCAAACCTTTCGCTTATTGAATAAATCTAACTCGGCTTGGATGACACATTTTCACTTATCTCAATCATATTTTTCCTGGCATTCAATTACAATTTTTGATCTAGAATCCTCAACCTCATTATCAATTTTTTTGTAATATCATATATGCATATGTATCATCATTATCCATGATTTAGTCTCGCTTCTAAAATTTATATTATTTATGATATTACTAGAAATTTTAATATTTTCTTTATTTTCTATAATTTTCTCATCATCGTGATTTTCCTGATTCTTCTTTAATTCCGAGTAATTAATTTTTTTATTTTTTTCGAAGATTCTTATCCTTAGAACGTTGTGTATTGCAGCGTTTTGTCCAACAATTTATTTATTTATTTATGAAGTAACAAGCAATAGTGCTTACTAATGTTTAGTTGTCTTTTTCACACTTTTTTAAGTTTTAATAATTTGTTTTACTCATATTATTGTTAGCATTAGATTACCATTAAATTTAATTAGAACAGATGCATAATTTTATTTTATTTTTATAACCGCAAGGCTTTGTTATATAACGTGAACTTATTTACTCGATTAAGTTTTCACTTTATATTAATTATTTTATTTTCATTATATTTTAAAATCATTTTAATAAATATTTGAAATATAATTATATCTTAAAAAGTTATAAGTTCAACATAAATAATAATGATAAAGTGTGTTGATGTGCTTATAATTAATTTCACTTGTTAACGGTTCATTAAAAATAATAAATTTTACAGCAATATTTATTTTTTACAAACCGCTAACATAAAAGCTGATTAAAATAATTAACGTAATTTTGTTGGTCCAAACAATTAATAGAATCCACTAACAACTAATCGTTCATGACCAAACAATATAATTATGTCATTCAATAAAAAAATACTTTTTTGTTATTTTCTTATCCAAATATATTTTATTATTTTTACGACCAGCACTTTCCAAAAAAGATATTGAGAATGAGACTTGTGCCGTGAAAATTACTTTAAAAAATAAATAAATAATTGTACCAAAAAAAATAAATAAATAAATAAATAAATAAATAACAGCATACAATTATTAGTCATCGTAGCATGCCTCTCAACGGTTACATGTATATTGACGCCGGAATTTGGTGGCTACATTGGCAATCCCGTGTTCTTTTGACCTAATTTCACGCGCATCCACACATTCTTGTGTAAATCAAGGGCTAAGGGGGCATTTTGGGAAGATTCCACTGTCCCGTTACGTAATCATTCTGTCGGAGTTTATAACTGTTACATCAACTATCCACGACGGTTACATGATGATCTAACGTTTACAAATCCCGACGGAATGGTTTCGTAACGAGACTGTAGCATTTTCTCGCATTTTGATATGATACAAAATCACTTTTAAACTTTTAATCGATTTCGATCCATTATGTTAATTCAACTAGGTGCTGTGTAACTCGCACATTTGTGCATTTTGATTTATAATTTTTGCTAACGTTATGGCAAAAAAAAAAATCTTCTAATTCAAAATTTAACTCAAATTCATTCTACTCAATATTATAAATATAATTTAATAATATCAATCAATCATCGTTTAATTTAGTTTTTTCAATCTTCTAATTGAAAATTCAACTCAACACTACTCTACTCTGCATTATTAATATAATTAAATACTATCAGTTAATCATGCTCACGCGTCGTGTCAATTTAAATTTCATTATTCATTATGTCACATAATTTTAACTACTTATCACTTCGAATAACATATCTTCTATACTTTTACATCACATTAACTTTTAACTATTACATTTAAAATAAAGTTTAATTATAAACTCAAAATCATCCTCTCGATTAGCTTATATTCAAAATAACTCACTAAAACCAATCAGATCCACAAAATTATCAATTTGATAAGTTGATTGTTAACAGCTTAGTTTATTATAAATACCCCCAACCCTTTCTTAAACCTTTTGCCACACCTAAAATCACACTAAGTAATCACCCCATATATACATATCATCACTCACTAATTAAAAAAAAAAAAAAAAAATGCCCATTATTAATATCTTCTTTCTCTTGCTCATTATCAATATCTTCATCTTCCCCACCATTGCCTTTGATCCCCCGCCAACGCAGGACATTTGCGTAGCTGATTTCAGCAAAGGACCAAAAGCATATGACAACCTTCCATTTCCGTGCAAGGACCCCGAACAAGCGACAGCCGAGGACTTCTTCTCCGACTTGTTGAGCAAAGCGGGCGACACCAACAACGCGTTTAACGCCTCCTTCAACTCTCTCAACACGACCCAAATCCCGGGCAGAAACGCACTCGGCATGACCGTGACCCGGCTCGACCTAGGTCCCGGAGGTATCGTTATCGTGTATATATTGAAAACATATCGTATGTTATCGTGTTAACACTGAACTAGTAATTTATTTTTATATATTTGGCTTTTTTTTTCAGGTAGCTTCCCTCTTCACATCCACCATAGGGCAACCGAACTCTTCATCGTCTTTCAAGGAGAGTTGGAGGTAGGGTTTGTGACATCCGCTCAGGATAATTACAAACTGTATAACATGACGATTCCGGAGGGCGGCGTGTTTTACGTACCTGTGGGGCTCGTTCACTATCAGAGAAACGCATTGAAAGATGGTAATACGGTTGCGTTCAGTGTGTTCAACAGACAGAACCCGGGGTACGATCCGGTTGCGCACGCTGCGTTCAAGTCCGCGCCTCTCATCGACAGTGGCTATCTTGCTGACGCCTTCCAGTTGGACGAGAATATCATACATATGCTCCAGGGGAAGACGTGGGTCTAGACAACACTTATATATCTTCAAATTAATAAATTTCTAATCTTTTTTGTGGTGGTTGTTAATTTGCTATTTTGAGTGAGTCCCCAGTCAAGCTATATATTTTCCTTTTCATGACTAAGAGTGATGAATAAATTTAACTCTCTCTCTCTCTCTCTCTCTC